TTGGATGCCGGGGAGGAAGCAGGCGAGCTCGGACCAGCAGCAAGCACCCCATAGGATTTACTGGCAGAAGGTAAAAAGTGCCTCAAGCAAAACAAAGCAGGAACAAGCTGAACCGGCAGGCACACAGTCCACAGCGACCAGTGGTGTCGAGCTCTCCGGAGGCACCCGACGTCACAGTGAGGGACGGAGACGCCTCGCCAGCTCCGCGCCGATCGTCGGGGCCACTCGAAGGGTGTCCCCCATCGGAGTCGGAGACCTCCGGCGAAGACTCCTCGGGCGACTCGACAAAGTCCGAGGAGGAGCTGTCCTCTGGCTCGAGAACTGCTTGCGCCCGCAAGGGCGTCATGCGCCTCGCACCAGACAAGAGCGCTTCCAGCGTCAGCTGCATAGCGAGGCGCTGATAGGTGGCGGCGCGTTTGCGAGCCAAGACCTCAGCAGCAGGTCCGTCATCAGGCACGAAGTGCCGACCAAACGCCGCATCCTCAAGAGGCATTGAGCGCTGAGCAATGATGTCCGCGAGATACCAGATGAAGCGGAGGGTATAGGATTTACTGGCAGAAGGTAAAAAGTGCCTCAAGCAAAACAAAGCAGGAACAAGCTGAACCGGCAGGCACACAGTCCACAGCGAGAAGCTGCACAATCACACACAAAACACAAGCCCGAAAAGAACCAGCACTGCTGGCACCCAGACGCGGCATCGCCAGCCCAAGCGCGAAGCCGCGCAGACAAGCAGCCTAAGGGTCAGGCAATCAAGCAACAAGCAGCAGGAGCATGCAGGAGGAATAAAATCCCTTAGACGCGATACCCGGAGGCAGCCGACTGACCACTGTCAGTCGAGACGTCCGCTGCCGGCACAAAGCGGGCGGCCGCGGACGGAGAAAGGGCAGCCGCCGACAAGGAGCCGGCGCTGCCCGGCCCGGGGGTCCGCCTGGGGCAGCGGACGGAGGGAGGCTGGACACAGGAACACGGTACCGGAGGGTGTCAGGATGCAGGGTACCGTCCGTCGAGATGGCAAGAGGGATGAACGCTCGAGGAGGAGTAGTCATGGCATATGCAGCGCGATGTTTGCGAATCTTCTCAGACGCTGCAACATGGAGGGCGTCGAGGTTGACCCCCCCCCACTTGGTCAGGTCGGCAGAGCTACCAATGTAAGGGTGGACCAACGTCACGTCCGCCATCAAGCCCTCGTACTGCTCGGACCCTCGATCGCGGTATAGGATTTACTGGCAGAAGGTAAAAAGTGCCTCAAGCAAAACAAAGCAGGAACAAGCTGAACCGGCAGGCACACAGTCCACAGCGAGAAGCTGCACAATCACACACAAAACACAAGCCCGAAAAGAACCAGCACTGCTGGCACCCAGACGCGGCAGCGCCAGCCCAAGCGCGAAGCCGCGCAGACAAGCAGCCTAAGGGTCAAGCAATCAAGCAACAAGCAGCAGGAGCATGCAGGAGGAATAACATCCCTTAGACGCGATACCCGGAGGCAGCCGACTGACCACTGTCAGTCGAGACGTCCGCTGCCGCCACAAAGCGGGCGGCCGCGGACGGAGAAAGGGCAGCCGCCGACAAGGAGCCGGCGCTGCCCGGGGGTCCGCCTGGGGCAGCGGACGGAGGGAGGCTGGACACAGGAACACGGTACCGCTCGAGGTAGTCCTCCTCGCTAGCCTCCGAGTCAGCGGTAGCCGAGTCAGTGGTAGCCGCCCGTGACGGCGGCGACGCCGCGGCAATGCCCAAGGACCGGCGTGACCCGACCGATGCCGGGGAGGAAGCAGGCGAGCTCGGACCAGCAGCAAACACCCCAGTGGTGTCGAGCTCTCCGGAGCGCCGCGGATTCCAGGAATGTGGATATCGCCCTTCATCTTGCGGCCATGAGGATGGGAGGGTACCTGCCGTCGAGAACGAGGATCCCCGACTGTATCGATGACGCTCTGAAGACCAGCTTCGTTCAGCATCGACCGAATCGTACGAGTAAGGTTGTCATGCGCCGTGGGAAGCTTGGAGGATCGGCGTTTTCAGGTCTGGAGATGATGTGCAGCAACGGAGGGATCGAGCTCGCGCTGACATCCATCACATTCCGTCGGACACTGGCAGATCGGCATGCCATGGAGATAGCAGTCGAGCATCTGAGCATAGCGGTGCGGGAAGGCCTTGAGGGGGTAGTAGCGAAGATGGTAGACTGCAAGACCCTATCCTGCGACTGGAGCGAGAGTGTCCTGCGGCGTCATAGGATTTACTGGCAGAAGGTAAAAAGTGCCTCTGTGCAAGGTGAGGATATCACGCTGCTGATCGTTCAGCGCAGCGCGAGCATGCACATGGCGAGGGAAGACGCGCATGACAAGGTTAGTGGATTTACTGGCAGAAGGTAAAAAGTGCCTCAACACGACAAGAGGGGTCACATTTCGCTGCGCAGGGGGAGGAATGAAGTGCTCATGAGACGAGTCGACGAGAGCGCGCAAACCAGGAATGTGTACCACAGATGCCGGGGGGCGTCCTGCGTCATCAGGCACAGCAGCCGGGGCAGGTGGGATCGCCGCGCCATCTCACTTTAGTGGATTTACTGGCAGAAGGTAAAACACGACGGTAGAGGATCGCTCCAGCATTATGAACGAAGTCGTGCGCCTCAACGAAGAAGGTCGCTAGAGGATACTTCTGGGCACGGAGAGATCTCGAGCAGTGAACGTCCAGGCTATGAGGAGAGGGCAGCGTCCGGGACATCGGCTGGTCAGAGGGTCTGAGCAGTACGAGGGCTTGATGGCGGACGTGACGTTGGTCCACCCTTACATTGGTAGCTCTGCCGACCTGATAGATGGATTTACTGGCAGAAGGTAAAAAGTGCCTCAAGCAAAACAAAGCAGGAACAAGCTGAACCTCCTGGCTCACAGCGCACAGCGAGAAGCTGCACAATCACACACAAAACACAAGCCCGAAAAGAACCAGCACTGCTGGCACCCAGACGCGGCAGCGCCAGCCCAAGCGCGAAGCCGCGCAGACAAGCAGCCTAAGGGTCAAGCAATCAAGCAACAAGCAGCAGGAGCATGCAGGAGGAAGAAAATCCCTTAGACGCGATACCCGGAGGCAGCCGACTGACCACTGTCAGTCACGGCGAGACGTCCGCTGCCCGGCCGCCACAAAGCGGGCGGCCGCGGACGGAGAAAGGGCAGCCGCCGACAAGGAGCCGGCGTTGCCCGGGGTTCCGCCTGGGGCAGCGGACGGAGGGAGGCTGGACACTGGAACACGGTACAGCGGTAGCCGAGACCAACACCGCCCGTGACGGCGGGCAATGCCCAAGGACCGGCGTGACCGTGACCCGACCGATGCCGGGGAGGACTTGAAGCAGGCGAGCTCTGACCAGCAGCAAGCACCGAGTAAGGTTGTCATGCGCCGTGGAAAGCTTGGAGGATCGACGCTTGCAGGTCTGGAGATGACATCCATCACTGGCCATTGCGTCGGACAGGCTGGCAGATCGGCAGGGCTAGTAGCTCGAGACTCGCATCGGAGAGTGGCGCTCAGGAAAGTGAGCGAACTTTTGCGAAGATGGTAGACTGCAAGACCCTATCCTGCGACTTGAGCGAGTATGTCCCGCGGCTGTGCAAGGTAAGAATATCACGTGGGCTGGCGGTGCCGGGTCTGCTGACAGTTGCCAGCCGAATGTTCCAGCCGAATGTTCTAGCAGTGCTGGTTACTTTTGGTCTTGTTTTTTGTGTTTGTTTGTGCAGCTTCTCGCTGTGGCGCTGTGACAGAGGGAGGAGCACGGTACCGCTCGAGGTGACGCAACACCAGCGACGCCGCATCAATGCCCACTGGACCGGGGCTGGGCGGCATCGGAAGCAGGCGCCGCCCGCGAGCTTTTCGGTCGAGATGGCAAGAGGGATGAACGCTCGAGGAGGAGTACGGTAGTCATGGCATATCAAACGCGATGTTTGCGAATCTTCTCAGACGCTGCCAACATCATGGCATGGAGGGCGTGTATGAGGGCGTTCACGTCCCCTGCTGTGCCGGTATCACGGTGGTCGTTGCTTGCCGGGGGCCTCTCTGCTGTACGGTCTACGTGGCTTTCCGCGTGGGCTGGCGGTGTAGGGTCTGGTTGCCAGCAGTGCTGGTTACTTTCGATCAGGCTTGGGACGGTTCGTGTGTTTGAGCTTGTTGCTCTCGGACAGGCACTTTCTACCTTCTGCGAGTAAAACTCAGTACAGACGTCACTGGCATTGATGGACGGAGAGGCTTCACCAGCTTCACTCTTGATTGCCGGAAGCTGCTCGGAGGCCCAACCGTTGGCTTAGCAAGTTCAGAAACTGACTCGACACTGAGATAATTAAGCCCGCCTCGGATCACACATGGGCTCATCCGTTATACCCGTTACGTGAGTGTCAAAGGTTCCGAGAATGGCGCGAGCGTTTCCAGCAATCCTGCGAGCCATGGAAGAGCTGAAGGAGATGGTGAGAGGAGAGCGAAGAGATGAGCGGAAGGCTGTACGTGATGATAAGCAGGAGCACGAGTCTCAGAGTCGATATGATCCCTTGGTCAAGGTCAATCTGCACCGGGAGGTGGGGGTGGTTGTGAGCTGAGAGCATGCAGGGCACGAGGAAGAAGCACAGGTTCATCTCATGCATCGAGAGGTCAGAAGGCTCTTCAAGGTTCTCGCCCATCAAACGCTTCCATCCCCAGCCTATCACTTACATGTTGCCTTGAAATCGGCCAGGTCAAGATCTCCCGTTGCCTCTACTAAGGTGTGAGGCTAAATTCATTCCTCCTTCACTCAGTGAGTGACTGCAGGTCAAGTACGAGCGTCAAGCGCGTGAGGAGGGAGGTGAAGAGATCAGTGGATGGCGGTCTGAATGGTTGGGAGGAAAACTCATTCCAGGTGAGACTCTACGCTTGGTCACGATCTTGTCCCTCAGTTGAGATGTCTGGCAGGAATGGAGTGGAGGAGGCAGCGTAAACAAGGCGCTGCGAGGGAAGGCGAGAGCAGGAGATTACCTGAGATCACAACGTTGAGCCCTAGCATGAAGAGTCACAAGCTCATCAAGTTTGATCCGATCGGTGAGAGAAGGAAATGCAAGGAAGGATGAAGATATTTTTGTGATGAAGTGAGGGGACGACGACGACGTTGATGTCGATTATGACGAAGAAGAAGACGACTGCGATAATGATGATACGACCACCTCCAACGTGTCAACAACGATTGTGGTGGTGGTGGTGGTGGTGGTGGTGATGACAACGGTATAGTTGATGACGATGATGATGATTTGAATTAGTATGAGGGTTTGGAGGGAGAGGACGAGGAAAAGTAGGCATGAGATCTAGCTAGTCAAGCTCATTCTTATTTGAAGGTGCTGGACTGCATGACAGTGACATCTGGGATCTCTGGTGCTAGTGCTGTGCCATTAGCTGATACTGACAAACTTGCCAGCGAGGAAGAAGTTGCACGACGGATTCCAGCTCAGATCCAGCAGTACGAGGAGTTGTTCAAGAAGATAGTACGAGAGGCTGCGCAAGTCATACCTGACCCTTCTCTCTAGAGGCACAGCACCAAAATCCTCGCACAGCTGGGAGTGAGCCCGCCGGACGTATCGACAGACACGTTTCGTTCGAGTTCCATCCAAGAAGCTGAGGTGAGGCGAATAAAGAGACGAGGAGGTGAATTTTCTTGACGCCAGCTGTAGTCTCGAGCAGCAAAATGGTGGAGGAAATTGAAGGAGGAGGAACAGCAGCAGGAGGTAGCTTGAGTTCAACCTTTTAGCCTGTATGAAAGAGGGAGCAGGAGACTCAAAGAGACCTGCTCTTTGCCGAGACGATTCGGAGGCGAGGAAAGCGAGCAGGGAAATACTTCCAGGTAAACATGCCTCGCTACTCTCACTCTTCTCTCCCCCTTTCCTCTTATCCCTGCCTGCAGCTGGAGCGAGCCTCTCACAGCAAGTCGACCTCCCCTGCTCCCTCCCTCGATCGGTGAGTTGAAATTCTTCTTGCTCGTCTGATCTTGATCACGCAGGACGTTGAGCCGCCTGTAAAATCATCCCAACACTTTTCTCTCCCCTCCTCTTCTTTCCTCTGTTTCCCATTGACTTTGTCCTCGCCCTTACACTTTCACAGCTCCTTTGCTGCAAAGACTCTTTGAACTTCATGACAAGGACAATCCTGAAGGACGAGGGATGTGGAAAGGGAAGACAAGAAAGAGGAGGATGCGGTCTCTCCCTGGCCTCTTCATTCAGCTTGCTGTCACCTCCACAAGTGCGAGATGACATGTCGATCTGAACCAGTGACAACCTGCAACGATGCAGATCAGAATGATGACAGGGAGACCGAAGGCTTGGAAACGAGGGCAGTAGATAGGGAGGAAGGAACCTGGTTGATCATGTTGCTGAAGTTTTTCCCGATGTCTCGCATCCTCTCGTCGATGACGGCAAGACGATCAGGAGCAAAGCGGGACAGACTTTCACCCTCTGCCTTCCCGTCAAGCCTTAGAGATCTCGTGAGCATGGTCTAGGCGAGTGGTGGAGCCATCACCTGCTCTCCTTCTCCTCAATCCCGCCGGACAGCAGCAGCCCTGCAGGAGACAGAACATGCGAGCAAGATGCAAGTGTGGGGGACTCTCGACAGGAAAGTTTCCACAAGGCAAGAAAGGAAGCCAAGAGGAGACAGTCTTTGAACTGCAGGACGATCAGAGTTGTCTCCTCCTGCCCCTTCCTCTATTCCCTACCTGCTGGCCTCCCTCGCCTCCTCTGCTCCCTCTGATACTGCGCTGAAGCATGCGGGAAGTGATCAGACAGCCTTGTGCTCGCAGTTCCATGGCCGTCATCTGCTCAGAGTTGAGTTGTGGGAGGAGGCAGGCGGCTTCTTACCGTCTGTAATTGTGATCGCCAGCGCAAGAAGGGAAGGAGCAGGATGAACCTGCGAGCCCGTCGCTCCGTGTAAGCGCAGAAACTTGCGAGGACACGAACGAGAGGAGAAGAAGAGACGGAGACGAGCGAGACTTGGAGCAGCAGCCGCGTCACTTGGCTTCCTCCTCTCCACATCCTTCGGACAGCCCAGGCAAGGAACGCGCGCAGCTTCAATCGAGCATCCACTCGACGGGCCATGGCATGCAGATGCTGCCACTCCCCCGCTACTCGTCGCTGGCAGGAGGAGCAGGAGGAGCAGGAAGCATCCTCAGTCTGTCGAAAGCCATCGCTACCTCCCTCCTCCCGCTCATGCAAGGGATGCGACGAGTACAAACGAGCATGGAGAGAAAGTTTTCCTCGCAGCACGAAGTTCTCCCGCATCTGATCCGAAAGTCTCTCAGCCTGCGCGTCATTTTCCTGCTTGTACCGCAGACATTCATCCTCAAGTTGATCCCTGTAGCTCTCCAGCTGGCTGATACGGTGGAGACATTCAGCTGGGGTCTTGCTGGCGTACGAGGAGGAAGGGGTCAAATTGAACTTTAAGCTTTCGATCCTCACGATCCTTAGCTGAGCCCTCGCGACTTCGCGGGTCAACCGATTCACTTCCTCCTGCAGCTTGACCTCCCTGCTCTGCTCCTGCTGCTGTCTCAGCTGGCTCTCTCGCGTCCGCCGGCTCTCCAGCCTCTCCCTCAGCTCGTCCAGATCGCTCTCGACCCGGCTGCTGGTCTCATGCAGCTCCCGCAGGAGGCGCGAAGTAAGATGGAAGAGCTGGAAGCTCTGCTCGTCTGCCAGGTCGACGGAGCCGAGCGGGAGGTCAAACGTTTCCTCGATGCACATCAGGCTCGCCGATCGGTTGACAAGGAAACCGAAATCGAAGGAAGGAACCGGAAGCACTCCTCCGGGCCCCAAGCTCTTGTTCACGTTGTGATGGGTTTGGATCCAGTTGGTCTTGAGCTGGGACAACAAAGATTCCATCTGCCCTGCAAACGAATCGCACAGAAGGAAAACTTGGAGCGTAAGGTTGACGTCGTTCGAGGCAGACGAACTGGAGCCCTTAAGCAGGTCAGCTGACCGCCCAGCCGATCGAAAAAGGGGAAGAAGAGCAGGAACAGGTGACGATCGAAGAGCATCGCGACGGACAGCATGAGAGAAACACAAGCGAGCCAGGTGAGACGAACGAGGGATCAAAACCTTCCGAAAACATCGACCCTCCTGCCGCCCGTCTCTCTCCGCCTCTCCCTCCGCCTCTCGCACTCGCAGCAGGCCCTCCACCGCCCTCCCCCGTGCTCGCCCGGCCTCTCCGACTGCCGCCCACGCCTCAAGCGCCTTGCCCAGCCTCTGCGTCCTCCCCCGCGCCTCAGCCCTCGCCCTCGCCCTCGCCCTTCTCCGCCCTTGCATGCTCCCTTCCTGCCATGCCCTCACCAGCCGCCTTGCTTCTGCCTCCTCCTGCCGCCGTGCAAGCCTCGCAAGGATCCTCCTCCCCTCTGCCTTGCTCGCGCACTCGTCCTTCCATCCCGTCCACGCTCGTCTCCTCGCCCCCTCGCCTCGTCTCGCCTCTCTTTGTCTGGTCTCTCTCCCTGTCCTCTGCTTCCACACGACCCTCTCTGCCCAGGCCTCCAGCTGAGCTTGCATCAAGCTTCTGACCTGGCGGTGAGGGGCGGCCTTTCCGTCGTCATTGCGCTCCTTTGCCCATCCCTGCCAAGCCTCGAAGTGCGCCCTCCTCTCCCGCCGCCCCCGACGATCTCCCAGCTGCCGCCCCAGGCGCATCTCCTCTGCCTTGGCCCTCCTCCTCAGCCTCCAGGCCCTTATGTACCCTCCCAGCCTCCGCCCTCCCAAGACCTCTCGTAGCCTCTCCCCCCTCTTGCTTCTCTCTTCCCTGTCTGCCAGCCCCGCTGCCAGCCCTTCCCACCCTCCTCGCATCAGCCCTAGCGCCTGGCGTGCCCCCCTCCTCTCAGCCTGCCGTCTCCTCTCCCGGCTGGCGGCCCATGCCCCCTTCCAGTCCCTGAACGCTTCCTCCTGCCGCCCTTCTCTCTCCGCCTCTCCCTCCGCCTCTCGCGCTCGCAGCAGGCCCTCCACCGCCCTCCCCCGTGCTCGCCCGGCCTCTCCGACTGCCGCCCACGCCTCAAGCGCCTTGCCCAGCCTCTGCGTCCTCCCCCGCGCCTCAGCCCTCGCCCTCGCCCTCGCCCTTCTCCGCCCTTGCATGCTCCCTTCCTGCCATGCCCTCACCAGCCGCCTTGCTTCTGCCTCCTCCTGCCGCCGTGCAAGCCTCGCAAGGATCCTTCCTCCCCTCTGCCTTGCTCGCGCACTCGCCTTCCATCCCGCCACGCTCGTCTCCTCGCCCCCTCGCCTCGTCTCGCCTCTCTTT